TACATTACTGAAGCTTTTCTTTCTTTAATTTGTGAAGAACTCAAAACAGCCTCAATGTGTAGGAAGAATGTAATGATTAAAGAAATTATAGCTTGCCTATTTGCAAAATGTTACATAGCTATTAAGAATATAAAAATTTAATGACAAAAAATAAATTTATAAATTTCAAAGAAAAGGCAATATTCATTTTTAAAAGCAGTATGTACAATAAAAAAGCACTTTAAAAAACAGTGTATAAGATAATATTGCTACTTGATTTAAAGCTATATAGAGAAAGACAAAAGTACACCAAAACTTAATAGTGCATTTAGTAGAAATATATAAAACATTTAACAGTGATTATTAGTGGTTACATAAGGGTGATTTCTGAATGTCCTTCCTCTTTATTATTCTTTCCTATATTTCCAATTTGCATATGGTGAGGTATAGTATATATTGCTTTGGTAATCAGAAAACAATTATAAAAGCCTAAATAGAAAAAATAAAAGAAGATATCTGTATTAGCATTAAGTTAGGGTGATTGATTGGGGTTGTATCCTTGTTTTTTCTTATTTTCACATTTTGGACTGTGGTTATGCTAAATTTATAATTTCAAAAACCATAAATTTTAATGAGATGACCTATGTTATATCTCATTTACGTTCTGGTAAGTATTACACTAATAATAACACTTTAGATTTAAGTGAGAATTGACTAGTAGCAAAATCTATTACTTGTATTACTTCATTTGATTCTCACAACACTGGTGTGAAGTAGAAATGACCACGTCACAGTTGCAGAAACTGAGGCTCAGAGGTCTGTCGGGTTGCATGGCAGACCCCTCACCGGACCAGTGTGGGACTCAGTGGCTGTGTTTCCCAAGGCAGTCCTCTCTCAGCTCCCAGGGGCTCCCCACAGCTCTCCTCTGGGCTGATAACACACTGAGTCATTGCATACAGGACACAAATGCTGTAAGCAACTAAGATGTTTCCTGGGAGAGAATGACTTTGATGTGCTTTATAACCACTCTTTCCACTGTCCCCGTGATGATTGTTGTTTTAGAAGTTGGGCTTTGATGTTCCAGTTAGTGCTTTTCCAACACACCTCCACTCCTTTGATATTCTCAACTAACGAAGCAGTGATACAGTCTTTGCATGAAGCACTTTTTAATTAACCAGTGATTCCCAAAGTATTCAGCCTGGGTTTGGGGCTGACAAGCTATATTCAAACTGACAAGCCAGTATACATGAGTTCTTTATTTAAATAGTTACATCTGACATTAAGCTCAATAAAGATTTCTTTGGAAACTTACTGTGATATCAAACTTTTCAAAACACACAAAGTGACCCAATTGGAAGAAATAAAATGAGGGACAGAAACAGTATCTATCAATAGTATGAAAAGGTTAATTGTATTTCCTCACACTAATTTTCATCAATGTGTCTGCATATTAATTTGAAGATTGTGAAATTTATTTGATATTCAAGGATCTCAGCTAGATGAGAATGATGTCATGAAAGTTTATATTGTTCTTCAATAACAATAGCTAATAGCTCATTTCACAGAAGCACAGAGATTAACACTGAGGAACAAGGTAACTTTATATGAACGTATACACACATATGTCATGTAGATAAATACTGCTAAAGATAAAATTCTAGGATGTCTGCAACAGAAAAGATCGACATATTTTATGAATTAGTTTCAAATAGAAAAAGTTAAATAAGTCTCCTGCCTTCCTTACAATTAAGAACAATGGGAAATACTTGCCAAACTTGACTCCAGAATAAAATGTATGTCTGTTGAGGGTTGTGATCACATAAGCTGTTAAAAATAGCTTTGAGAGTCAAACATAAGAGAAATTCATAAGTTTTAAAATTGTTATTCCCTGCTGTGAAAGTTAACCAAATTCAGACTTTAACCTTGACATTCTCATGTCCAGTGACATGTAATATTATACAAGGCTGCAGAGTTCTCATTTTTGCTTGAGAGCTCAAATCACAAATATTTTCTTTTTTTTTTAGATTTTATTTATTTATTTTTAGAGAGGGGAGAAAAGAGAGAGAAAGAGAGGGAGAGAAACATCCATCAGTTGCCTCTCACATCCCCAACTGGGAACCTGGCTCACAACCCAGGCATGTGCCCTGACTGGGAACGGAACCGGTGACCTTCTGGTTAGCAGGCTGGCACTCAATCCACTGAGCCACACCAGCCAGGGCTGCCACAGTATTTTCTTAGATGTCCTCACATAAAAACATTCAAACGTGTTTAATAAGTATGCTTCTGAAATTTTCTAATGAACCACAATGAAAAAGTGGCATCCATAGTAGCTTCACACATCGGTATCTCAAACTTTTCCAAAATCTAGCTCCTGATTCTTCTCCAGCCTGCTTTTCTGGAGTCTTCGCCAACTCAGTGAGCAGTGACACCATCTAGGCAGTTGCAGACCAGAGTCGTTTTGACAATTTTGCCACCAAATCTCCTCAAATCCAGTTCAAAACAGACTCAGAATTCAGCCACTTCTCTCCACTGCGCCTGCAGCTGCCCTGGCCGCATGGCCACACTGTCACCCGCACTGCCGCAGTGGCCTTCTCCCTGCGCTGCTTCCTTTCCCCTCTGCCAAAGCTTAAACCCTGCAGAGCGATTTTCATTTTTCAGAAAAAGCCAGGCAACTGTATCCCTGCTGTGCTTGAACTTCCCAAAGGCGTCTGTCTCATTCAGAACAAAGCCAATGTCCTCACAAAGCCAGTCACACAAGCTGCACCCCCATGTGCCTCTCTGATTCATCTCCTACTTGACTGTCACTCACGGGTCCAGCCAGCCTGGGCTCTTTGCTGTGGCTCCATGAACCTGGGCACGCTGGTGCTGCTTCTTATTCCCCATTGCCTCTGTTTGGAATGTCCTTCCCCTGGGTTTCCATGGCTCCCCCACTCACAGCCTCCCCATCTTTCGTCATGTCACCTTCTCCGTGAGACTTTGTATGGCCTTCCTCTTTCCAGGTGCAGTCCCTCTATCCCATTTTCCCATCCTCACCCTTTCTCCAATGCTCTTTGGATCAATTGAGTGAGAATATATTTTGTTTAACTTATTTTGTTTATTCTTTATTTCCTAGCCCTTAAATGTAATATTACTGACAGCATCTCTTTTGCACTTTTTTTTTTGGTTTTCTGCTGTATTTCCATCTCCTAGAATAAAGCCTTGCGCATAGTAACTACTCAATAAATTATGTTCAGTGAAATGTAGTTTATTTCAAAATAAAAGTCCTTAACTTCTCTTTTTAAAAAAAGTAACATGCACTGCCTCGCTACACTAGAAGAATATCAATGAACTCATCAATTGGTTTCTAAGAAGTGACTGAGATTCCAAAGTCCTCATTGCAGGAGGTTCCGTGAGGGCTGCAGGTGCTCTATATCTTTAAAGATTTCACGATTTCAGAAAACAAACTTCATTAGAGAACAATCACACAGCAATAAAAGCTTATATGTTACTAAATGCCAAGTCAAGACTGTGGCATTCAGGAGGTGTGTGTTCTGGTTCCAGCGCTGCTATTAACTACTTTCTGCCCGAGGAATCTGTTGCCCCTCCACCACCAGTCCTTTATTTTGCAAACAAGATGAAAACACTAGGTGGTTTATTGGTTCATTAGAGCTTTTAATGTCTGTTGGCCTATTATTTGAGAGAAAGAAGAAGAGAGATTCATATGTGATCGTGGGTTAGCTGTTCTGCACCTCTCCTCCCCGACTCCTGACTCTCAGCCTCCCCAAGAAGCCACACTGAGGAAGTTCTGAAAACCTTGATTGGTCGAAAATACATTCACACCAGGCTATTTCTCAGCAGACTGTTGAACTTTATCAAATCAGACATATATGACTACATTTAAATATAGCAGCATTTTAAATAATTGCTAACATCAAAGTGTGAATATTATTAAAACTACAAGTAGATCATGTAATTAGCCATGTTCTTTTCTTGTCTTATAAAATATCACTGTCTTTGATTGTTATTTATTTCTATATCATGTGTATGATGTGTTTTGATTTGTCTACAGAGACAAGTTTCTCTAGTTCTAGAGTCATGGATTATACAAGTATACTTGTTCTCTCTCTCTCTGACTATGTACAGTGTCATACATGAGTGTTGTATGAATAAATGGGTTCTAGAGTTTTCTAAATAATATCTGCTCAGCCTAGATACAGGAAATGCATGTCACACAACTGTGCTACAATATAAATTTGGTCATGAATAGAGTCCTTAATGCCTGCACATCATGTTATGTTATCAACCTAGGATAAACAACCGGCTTTGGATGGCACCACAGTAGACCAAAGATGACCTACATTTGCAGCATGAACCCAGGAGAACAATGTCTCTATGCACTAACGATAATACTCACAAAAGTTACCATGTGAAGAAGAGGAGGGTGGGGATGCAGAGAACACCCTTCAGAGTTGACCAAGCCCCTGAAAGACCTGGAACAATGTGCTAGTAAGTGAGGCATGAGAAGCCCCCAACTCACTGGAAGCTGGTATTCTAGTTTACAGATGACAACAGAGTTTCTTGCCACCCATGCCCACATATACCCATGTTGGTGGTGCAGCCCTGGGTGACATTATCTCCTTTTCTCCTGACTTGTATACTGAGGCAAGTCACAAAGGAAAAAAGGGGATCAAACCAGAGTCGCTTACTTGTGTCTGTGGGTAGCACTTACTAAGCATGCCTGCAATACAATTTCTTCCCTCTCAGATACCTGAGTTCTCAGTTTGCTTTTCCTTTACTGGTGTTATTTCCTCTTACCATTTGCTCCCCTAAAGACCAACGCGGTCTTTCCAGAATGTAGAAGCATAAGTCCATGGGGCAATACACAGTCCCTCCTCACTCCAGCTATTTTGTAAATTAAGATGACAATGTAGTCTTTTTTTTAATCTCCAGCTTCAGCACCTTCCACTCTCACTCAACAAACTGTAGTGGGGTTGTAGGAGATGACCAAACCTTTCAGCTGTGACTTTGTGAACACGAGTTACCTGTGCAGATTCTTTTGAAGTTCGGATTTTCCAGCAGGTGCCCTGGTAGGCGGCACTGGAACCGGTGTTGCCAGAACTCAGGGAACCAGGGGTTCCTCGTATTGGTGTCCAGCCTTAGCTTCAGGAAATAATCATCAAACGACCTGACTTCTGGAGACTGCAGCTTTATTGTGATTCCCCCATTGGCTTCCACCTCATAACCTTCAATGACTTCGTCTCTGTCTGCCCATCCATCACTGAAAAAAAAGAAAAAGAAAAAGAAAATTCAGGGTGGGGAGAGAGAAAGATAAACAGCTCACAAACAGAGCTCAGGGTTGTGTATGAATGAAGCAATTCAGCAAGGCTGAAGTCTATGTTGAGCCAGCATCGCTACCCGTGAATGACTTCTTATGGTGGAGACTAAAAAGTTGTGAAATAATAATAACCTTGTTTCACTTTCACAGTAGTGAAAGGGATGGTGAAGATGATGATGATAGCAATTATAAGAGCTAACATTTATTGGGCATTGACCAGCCATCGGATCCTGTGCTACTCAACTTTGTAGTGAGGAAGGTGTCCAGGATCCAGGTGACACTGGGGCATGGGTCCAGGCAGTCTGGTTCTGAAGTCCAGTGCTCTTTCCCACCAGACCACAAAGCCTGTCAGTTTTCATCCTGACCAGGGGAAAATAAGACCCAGGTACTCAGGGTCTTCACAATCAGAGCTCAGCAAGGTTTCAAGGTTGCAGTCAAGACCATTCTACAAGCTGCACTACATGGGGTAGAGCGTTGCTTTTGTTCAGAAACTTGACAACGACAGATTTGGCTCCTAGGCATTGTTCAATTTGCAGTGCATAGCAATGACCGAGGCTCTTCCCTCTTTTAATGCTATTTCAAATTAACAGCAGTAAAAGAAAACAAGTTCACTCCTCCGAATAAAATAATCCTCCTGCTCACTAAATGGGAGTTCATTGATATTTTATTCAGTAGATTTGAATTTTTATTATTTGGTCACCTTCTAGAACATTCATATCTTCCATGAATGATGTAGCTCCAGTTTAATTCAAGAGTACATATAAGCCTGGCCAACCATTATATGAGTGGTTGTGACCTCTCCCCAAGAAAGTATCAAAGAATGCCCTGGCTGGCATAGCTCAGTGGATTGAGTGCAGGCTACGAACCAAAGCATCGCAGGTTCGATTTCCAGTCAGGGCACATGCCTGGGTTGCAGGCCACGGCCCCCAGCAACCGCACATTGATATTTCTCTCTCTTTCTCCCTCCCTTCCCTCTCTAAAAATAAATAAATAAAATCTTAAAAAATATTTTTTAAAAAGTATCGAAGAAAAAGCACACTGAACAGAGTTAAACAGGCATAGAAGACTTTGTTCAAGACTATTCCAACAGGCCAAAGACTGAACATAATCTTCTAGAACAAAAGGTGGGAGGGCTTTTAAGCGCTGGGATGAGCCAGTAAGAACGTGCTGGGGAACAGTGGGTGTCGGAGTGGGGGGGGCGGGGTGCTGGTCAGCATCTGTGTTTGGTCATTGTCCCTCATCTAAGTTACGCTCCCACCTTCCCACAGAAACGGAGAATGGAGGTTTGCTGTCATTTTTGGTGATTCCATTTTGTAAGGATGGCTCCCAATTTCCTGAGAAAAAATGTCTGTTACGAAACTTACAAAAGGCTAGGAGAAAATTCGTACCTCAAAGGGATGAAGACAGAATTTATAATGATGTGTTTTTGGAAGTAAATATTCTATGAAAAAGGAAATAAGTCCTTCTGTCCTCCCTCCCTCCCTCTCTCCCTCCCTCCCTCCTTCTTTCCTTCCGTCCTTCCTTCCATTTTTCCACCTTCAGAATACCACCCACTGTGTGCCAGGTGCACAGCAGACTGTGCTCAGAATTCAATTGAGAATGAGACATGCTATCCTTTGCCCCTACTGTTACAGACTTGAGGGGAAAACAAACACTAAACAAGAATTTTCAAAGCTATAAAGGTAGAGGAGAAGTGACCAGTAACGGGGAGAAGGGCTTGAGGGTTTAACTTAGTCTGATCTGTACTATGTATGTGAGTGTGGGTGGGAGAGGGATGATTAGAAACAGCTTTCCTAAGAAAGCAATGTCTGATCTGAGATGCAAAGCTTCAGTCAGGTGAGGAGAGGGGAAGGGGTTGGTGTAGAAGGTTCCCGGTAGATCTAACCCACACGAGCAAGCACAGCTCATTCAAGGACTTCAGAGAGGGGCAGTGAAGCCGGAGCAGAGAGAGAGCCTCGGCAGGAGGTGGGGGCTCAGGCATAAATCCTGCCCTGGGAACGGTTAGCCCCGGGGCTGCAGGAAGTCCTCAAAGTGCCTTAAACCAATTTTTAATGAGGCCATTCAGCTCTGCTCCCTGGTCCTAAATGACTTGAGCATGTTTCTGGCAAGCCCTTCTCTAATCACCATCATTTACTATGGATGGCCCATCACACTGATCAAAGAAAAAGGACACGGACTCATTTATCTTTCTATATGTTCCATCCTCTTAGAAAAGCCCAGACTGGTTTAATTACTCAGACTCATCCGCATTCACATCACAACATCTACAGCCGTTTGAAGGCCTGAGCCACAGTTCCTGCCCTGCTGAAAAAAAAAAAGGGTAAAAATAAAACCAGTCAGGCTTTCAAGAAATTCTGCCTGGGAGTATATATTTAAAATCAAAGTGATTTCTAACTTAAAGAAAAGAATTACTTTTTTGACACAAAGTTTAAGCTTGAAATGTGTTTCTCCTCAGGGTTTAATATTGTGTGAGACGTGTTTGTGGAGTCTGAAAAGGAACCCACAATTTTTTAAAGTGAAATGAGCCTGATAAAATGTTTATTTGCATTTCATTTTTTTAAAATCTCAGTTTATACAAGCAAGTGTCATATGTGAGTGCTGGAAGCAGAGAAAGTGTGATTTCCTGCCTTTTTCCCACCTGCACAGAGCAGCGCATCATAGGAATAAACATTTGCCTGTGAATACAGATCATTCTGGAAGTCACGTGATTGACTGAGTGGGTGGAGCCTGAAGTCCCCTTTGCCAAAAAGGTCAAAGCCCCACCCCCTCACTCTGGAGGACCCCTTTGCAAAGTTAGAGTTGGTGTTAAATTCAAGAGGTCACAAAATCGAGGAGAACCAGATGTGACAGAGAGATTATTCAACTAGGATAACTTGACTAGGACATCCTTTGAAGTGTTAGTTGCTCAAGTTTTGTGTGAGATCAATAATCTATCACAGGTAAAGTATTAGGAAATGCTAACAAATTAAAAGGAGCTGAAAAACATCCATAAAGCATCTCCTGGATTTTATATATTACAATTATTTTGTCTACCAAGAACTTGTCATATGTATTTACAGAGAATTTTGGAAGATTCTCTTTGTTTAGCTGTTCTGTGATTTTTCACTAGGATTGTTTGGTGTGTGTGTGTGTGTGAATTCCCTGCAAAGCCCACTTGAAGAGACAGAGCCAGCACCTTGCTGATACCTGGTGCAGGTGTTCTCCATTGTTGTTAACGGTGACAGGGGTTGCAGACTGTGCCTGACCAGAGAGGGCCTGCAGGCCCCTGCTCACCCCCAGTGTGCGGGGTGAGTCCTGCTGTGCCAGGGCCCACCAGCCTCAGGCAGTGCTGGTCTCTCCCGTCTCTCCATGAGGCCCTTTCATGGCCTCTAGCAGCTGCTGCTGCTCCATCTGGTTCCCCACTATGGGTTCCCTTTCCCTTCTGGGGTCTGCAAATAAAACCGCGTAATGTGGCTGAACAGGCTGACGGCGGTCAGAAGGCTGCATGTCCCAAGCACCAGAACCTTTATTTCCTTTCCCTCCCACCTCAATGTTTATGTGGAGCAGTTCCTTCACAGGGCTGTTCTTCCCTTCCCACAAAAATCATTTTTCTAGTGCCTGTGAAATGTCACAATCTAAACATGAATGATACTATTTGTTCTACTTAATATGGTTTTACATTAGCAACAGGAAATATTTATTTCTAATTCTACCAGTTATAACTTGACAGAAGATGCCTGAGTGTTCTTTTGTAGCTTATCAGTTAAAATAATTTAATAAGCAAATCAACAGTAAAAAAAAAGAAATACAACAGCATTCATTTAAAAATTGTTCAAAAGCATTTAAAAGATATCTACATACAATTAAAATAATTACGATCTAGGAAGTAAAGCAATTTGATTTGTGCTATGAATTCAAGTAATTGTGTTTACCTGATAATAAAACTATAGTTCTTTAAAAGTATTCTAGCGATTCCCATATAACTAGGAAAAATAAAAGCACAATAAAAATAATATTTTAAAAAACATGTAGTCAAGCACAAAATTCTAGAAATTTCAATGCTAGCTATATTTACAAAGGGTGAAGAAATGTAGCACAATGCAATTTAAATTAAGCAATGCCAATTGTGGGAAATTTTATGGAGGGAATGGCAGCTTTTCCAATAATAACTCATACTGGCTTTGTTCATTCAACATTTATTCACCCAGACTCTTGTGCACTTTACTCACTGTTGAGGATACATTGCTAAAAAGTGTAGGCAAGGTCCCTGTCCCCAAGGCAGTTTCAGAGGTGAGGAAGTCTGGCCCCTGAATACACAGTAGCCACAGAGAGCTGCAAAGACTAAAAGGTTAGGAAGACAGGCTACAGGAGCACAGAGGTGGGGGGACATGGGTCATGTCAAAAAAGATTCTTTCAAGAAATGACACCTAAGATGAGACTGAAAGGGTGAGCTGCAGTTACACAGGTGAAGAGGGAGAAGAGAGAGGGACCCGCTAAAGAGGAGGCAAAGCTTTCAAACTACAGCAAGGCGTGCGCTTTACCTTACAGTGTGCCGGGTACTACATGCTAGGACACGCACGGTCGACATCTAGAACCTTAACGTCTTTGTTAAGGTTTGGGATTTCATTTTTATGCTGGTGATGAACTACTCAAATTTTAAGCAGGGATATATATGATGCAGTTAGATTTGTTCATTTTAGAAAGATTATTCTAGAAGAATACCCAGAATACACTTGTGAAGGTTCTTTCATTCATTCATTTTCAGGCAAAAACTGTGGAAACATACACAGTTGTGTTTGCACACATGTGTACACACATATGAACACCTGTGCACTTGCTAATTATGTCACAATACGAAGGCACAGGCGAGGAGCTGATGAACCAGGAACTGAGGCAGTGCTCACAATTAGTTTATATTCCATTTTAAAGTTAGCTGCTGCCATTCCAACATGAATATAGAACTG